TAGTCTGAATTGTCCCATTAAAAATTTCTACCTCCCTTTCTCTTGGTGGCCCGAAGAGCAGAGTTGGGTTCCAGGCAACCCATGTTTAACTAACTGAAGGCTTTTGAGTACACATACAAAGTCTCTGCTTTCTGCACACCACGCTGCTCTGAAATGTCATGTTCTCTTGATGACAAAGCACTTGCACAAGCTTGTTACTTAACCTAGAACGCATAAATATGTATACATGACTTAGAAAATAATTTTATTTTAATATTACTCAGACTTCAGTTTCAAAACCTGGAGGAAGTGGGTTACACTAATCATTTTCTTAGCAAATTATTAACCAGGTGACAAGACAGTGCTGACGCTGCAAAGCAAGCCACACGGGACTAGTGTGCTCTCACGTGGGAGTGTGTTGTCCTCACTGTTGCACAGCTGGGAACCTGTGGCAGCAAATTTGCTAAAACTACAAGCAATTAGTACACTGAAATTCAGTATCTCTAGGAAAAAAACATTGGTGATCTCACCTATATGATCACAGAGGGTAAATGCAGAAATATCACCAGCCTCTGTGTGGGGTGGCCACTGAGAGAGAAGGTCTTCTCCCTGACATCTCTAGGGGATTTTTGGAGTGAGAGCATCATGAGGAGGGGAAAAGTGTGGGGTTGTGTGTCAGGCTGCACACTAACACGTCTTGCATTCCCTGGTCACAGCAGATACTGGGACTCACACTACCTCCTGCAGCTATCTGATGTTGGGTCCCTACACCTGCAGGTCACTGGCCCATGGTCACTTCTGGAAGAAGTGGTAGGATCCTGTAAGGTTTCTCCACAGCCTCTCTGGAGCATAACATAATTCTGTTCCCTTTTTTAACTGTAGTGGGCTACATTTAGGGACCTAGAAGTCCCTATATAAATCTCCCATGGAATCTATCACATTTAAAATTGCTGGTGGAATGTGATCATCCATGTGATATTGAGCATAATTTTAACACAAGATGCCACATGTACCTTGGGTGCTACCACATGCTTAACATTGCATGGGTTCTACAAGTGGACAAACACCAAAGAAACCACATTTTGTCCTGCCCTGTCAGTCCTGTGCTACCACACTGAACCAGAACTGATGGGGACTGCAGGCAAGGTGGAATGTTCTCATTAAATGTTATTTTGTGCATCTGGAAGCCATATCTGTTAAACACCACCAGTGTGCTGAACATCACCACAGTCTGTAGTATTTGCTCTCCTAACCAAGCAACAGTCTCTAGTGAGTCCAGAAAAGAGAGTGAGAGGGGGACCAGCCCCACAGCTCTCACTGGCTTCTATCTCCTGTGTTTGTGGGTCAGACACAGGAATGATTTGCGCAATATGTTCAATTCTAGAGTCCTCATTGCAAGGAATGAGTTGCAAGGTTCACTTTTGGAGATTCGAGAATTTATTAGTCTGGGGATCTCACTAGTAAAACACCATTAGTACTCCTTACCACCTCGCTTCTTCTCCAGCTGATCACAGAAGCAATACTGCACAGAAATATACTACTTCCTTCCTCTGCTGCAGCCCTCTGTAGATCACGTTATCATCACCAAGACTGCTGCTGTCAGGAGCCCTTTCTCCCATTTATGTCTACATTTATGTCTACACCCCAGAGCAGCCCGAGGGACATAATGCTGGTCCATGGTCTTTAAAGCTTTCCAGGGCATTGATGTTGAAAGGTCTGTATACGTGAGGGTTAAATCCACAGTGCATCCGTTGATTTTATTGCAAATGTCTTTCTTTTTGTCCTGGTTTTTAGCTGGAACAGAGCTGGGTTTCTTTTTAGTAGCTACATAACTTGACTAAATTGTATCAACAATTCTCCCAAATCTGAACACATGTAGCACCCTGCAAATCCACATAGTGCAATAACAATGAATACTTTCTTAGCGTAGTTTTGTCCCAAAGCATAAGTAAACCTTTTTTCTTGCAGTTAATCTGTCATGATTAAATTAATTAAAGCTGGGCATGCTCCCTAGTTCCTTTTACTGATCTGATCTATCTTCCTAAAAAGACTTTTTTATAACAACTATTACAAGATAATTGGGATTTTGTGTGTTCTTAGATTTTTTTTTTTTTTCTGTATTTATTTTATTTTATTTGGACTCCGTGAGTTTTGCCATTTTGGCCTTGGTGCGCTCACTGCTGTGACTCATGTATTCCACAGCTACTGCCAGATCTCTGAGGCTGACATTGTAATTATCACATTAGGATCTGTCATTGTTGCCCTGACTTAATAAATAGCCAGAGAAGTGATTAGAATCACTGATTGATCCGTTCCGTGGTTTGGGACACTCACATCTGAGATGAACAGAGGGATTATGGATATTAACGGTTTGAAATGTCAGCATTCCCGATTAAATTAGTATTAATCAATCATTCCAGGTGCACTAGCTGTTATATATAGTAAGCATTTCTGTATTTGATAATCTGATAATGATCAGCTAAAACTGTGACTCAGATTCACCTCATAAGCTGCAGCCCTTCCTCTGTGCCCACAATGTGCTGGAGACATGCAGTGCACAGCAGATGACCAAGGTCCCTTCCAGGTGAGACTCATGATGCCCTTCAGGAGTACAATGCAAGCACTGGAGTCTCAGGTGGGCATTCAGTACATGGGACCAGGCTACACCTGGTCCAAAGCAAGAAAAGCCCTGAAACGAGCAGAGTGTGGATCCTCAGCACCAACCGCTTCACTCCACATCCAGAGGCTGGACAGCAACACACCCCAACAGTGCCCGAGAAAACCGAAGCAGCAGCTCCACAGAGGGAATACTGCTGCTGGTTGTGGTTCTTCACCCCACAGCTTCCTCCATGCTCCCCATGAAAACTCAGAACAAGCCAGGAGCCTGCAGTGTGGGCAAGGTGGAGGCAGCTCTTTACATTGTTTTGGTCCAAAGGCAGTGCTGTGCTATCAGAGGGACCAGCCCTGGTCCAGTAGCAGTCCCAAAAGACAGATTTGCAGTGATGTCCGTTCCTCCTGGCCATGGGAAAAACATGGTGATTCGGCACACTGTGCATGATCTCCGCACGGCTCTTTGGGGCAGCTTGTGGCAGATCTCAGGTATGGGTCTACCACATTGGGTTTTTTCTTTAAAAAATTATGTTTTAGAAGAAAATTTTGTTGACCTGTGAAGGAGTGGAAAGAGATGAGTGAGGGCATAAAAACTTACTAAGTAACTCCAAATTTTTATAATACCGTCCATGCATCCAGTTGTATGACCAACATAGACATTTTATATTTCTTCAAAACCTGCTTGGTTTAGATTTGTTGGGTCCATAGTTTGACAGATATAGACAGACAAAGGAAATGTGGTGGCTATGTTCAGCTTCACTTTCAGTTCTTAAAAATAATCTTTAAAATTTGTTTAATTTTTATGATTTTATTTCCATTCTTGAATGGGGAAAAGGTTCTGAGAGTTTAAAAGTTCTGAAAACTGGTATCATAGTGAGTGTCATTCTCTAGACTACTCTGGGTCAGCCTTAAGTTGCACGCTGATGACTCAAAAGCATTCATTCAAAATCCAGCAACAGGGATCTTGGGATCTTACCTGTGCTCTATTCAAAATGTTGTTTTCTCTTCCTGACAACAGTTTATTCTAGGTCAGGAATTCCCTTCCAGGGAGATCTGAACACCACACAAGCACAGAATCATCCTGACACGTGGTATTTTACCCGTAGAACTGCTAAAAATCACCCCTTCGGCAGAGGAAATTTTGGGCAAATACTCCACAAGTTCACTCCTTTTCAGAACATTTGGTGCATGAAAACTGCACAGCCCAAGATGGGGGACCCAATTCCCCATTTTATTGTCTTCATAATCTAAGAAGTTGACCTGTCATGGTGGAGATTTGGCTTTTCTGAGCCATCTGCCGGCAAAGTATCATGACTGTACCTCTACCTTGAAGAGCCCACAAAAACCAGCATATTCAGGAGGAAAATAGCACAGTTATGCCCAACAGTAATTGAGGATTAGGGCACACCATGCCAGCTACTTGCTTTCTGTCCCTGAACGTCGCATTTCACTTCTTTTTGTCTTCAAAATTGGGGTAACAGTACTCATTACATTTCTAAAGCACTTTCAGGCTTTTAGCCAAACACCTTTTTTAGGAATGATTTATTTTTATCTCTGTCACCACAACCCCATTTGCTCATGAGGGATACCAGGCACTCATAGCTTGGGGCTCTGGATGATTCTTGCTTTGTGATCCTAGGTTGCTAAGTAGCCTGTGTTCAGAGATGTAAGGAATCCTCACTGTATTTGTCATGGAGCAATCTTGCCCAGCATTCAAAATATTTTCTCAACTTGAAAAAATTCTTAGGGATTTCCCACTGAGGCTCAAAGGCAGTCATATATTTTATTTATTTTATTACAAGGCATGTAAGTAAAAACTTGCATATCTGAAAAAGATATTAGATAGAAAACAGTAATAAAATTAACATTATTATTTTAAGAAACTTGGTAATAAATACATTTCACCTCAACATTAAAATGCTTGTTATTTTGCACAACAATAAATACAGCATAGCTCTGGCATAGAGAAAGGCCAAGGCTGGATACAAGAAGTCCATGTGGTTTCTTAAAAAAGCTTAGGTGATTTATAAAGGTTTGGCATCCTGCATTTGATGCACTTTGATACAACTTGCACTTTAATTTTAATTTTATTATGATTTTTAAACAATCCCATAATCTGAAAATATGAGAAGAAAATTTGTTTGATTGTAAGATTTTTCCTTTAAATATTTCCAAAGTAAGATGTGTAAACTCATTGAAGCCAATCCTTGAAATAAAAAATAAACATTCAAAAAAAAAAAAAAAAAAAGTGTCTTGGGGATTCTTATTCTGGCTATTCTACAAAAATGCAGGTTTCTCAGCTGTGGGTGCTCAAGCCTGACCAGCCAACTGGCAAAGGACCAATCCCCAGTCAGTTCATCAATTCTTTATAGTTTTAAAAAAGAAATAATAATAAAAGGAGAAAGAGTAAAGAGTGTAGTATTCACTTCCCAAGTCAAGATGCCAAGTCAAGGTTCTTACACTATTATCCAAAGGTGAGAGGGGAAAGAACAGGTGTACTCCAGAACACTTCCCAGCATAACTTTAGGTCATTCTGGTCTATACTTTTCTTTTAAAATTACTGACAAGAAAAAAGGAAGAGAGAGATATTTCCATGCACTGTGCTGTTCTTATGTCAGCACATATCATCACAACTGTGAACCTAAGTCACTTTGATAGCCCAATCTAATATAGATTGATTGATTGTCCCACGACATAGTTAGATAATGTCCACAAAATGCCACAAGCTCTGGCAGAGTCCAGCATCTTAAAGTACTGATAGGTCATGACAAGACTTGGACTTGAGTTTGAAAGCCATGTTTTTGTTGTTCTTGGCAACTATTTTGCCCCAAAACCGTCTGGCTTTCTTGGGGATACTCTCTCTCCGTTTCTGGTATGCCAGCCGCTTCTCATTCTTTTCCTTGCTGTCCCTCCGGAGCCGGACTTGCCGCACGATGCCTTCAAACAGCTCTTTCACGTTGTGCTGCACGGCTGCCGAGGTCTCAATGAACTTGCAGTCAAACACAACGGCACAGGCTCGTCCCTCTGCAAAATTGCAAGGTGGGTATGTCACAAGGTGTCACGAGCAGGGAGGAAGCAAAGCGGATGCAAAGCCAGTGCCACTGGGGGAATTCCTCAAGCTTAATATAGGCATGGATAAGTCTTTAATCACCCAACGCTGCCTGCTAGCCCATGATTCATCTGCTCTGTGTCACACTCCCTTCTCAGCAAGGGGGGTGAATCCCCTCCTGGAAAAGCCCAGCCCCCGCCGTCAGCTGTGAAGGGAGCTGGGGCTGACTCACACCGAGACACTGAAGGCTGAGAGGTCAGTGAAGATTCAAAATCACCTGCTCATCTTATGTGTAGATTCCCTCAAGTTGCATTAAAGGGTGATGACAGCACCCTCCACACACACAGCAGAGGTCTTGTCATCATAGGAGGCAGAGCCCAGCCTCCTCGATGGGTCAGGGGTATAAATCAGGGTCTTGGGACAGTAGTGACTTTGGTGTGAATAGAAACATGTGCAAAACTCTTAAATAAAGGCAGAACTATGCCTGTGGCTTTAGAGGCACATCTGAAATCATAGTTCTTATCCTTAATTACACTAACCTAAGCTAAACCTGACAGGTGTCTTTCACACACAAGCCAATTTATTCTGTCTTCTGGCTTGCCATGAACTCATTTCCAGGATGACTGAAATGACATGAATGCACCAGCCATCTTTCAAAAGATTTTTCAGGTGGGGCAGAGAGGAATGAGAAGGCATACAGGTGTCCCTGGGCTCCTGATGAGCTACCTCAGTTCAAACTCTTCACTTGGGGCGACTGTGACAGGGGCCAGAGGAACAGTGCATATCCCCAGTGGATAAAAAGAAGTCTAGCTCAAATAGGAAATAGAAGAGCCAAACGGCGGCAGAGAGAAGAAAATGTTGAGGGAAGGAACCCATGTTTCTGATGGGCCAGGATGAGATCATCTAACGCATTGCTGCCTGTTATGTTGTGTCACCTAAGCCTCAGGAAAGACTTTCCAAGAAGAGATATTACTGACTGCAGACCTTGGGAGCCCACAGCAGCTTTCCCAGCAGTCTCTTTATTCCTATTTATGGGCTGAGGGCTCCCCGGGCTTTGGGAGAGTGACACATGTTGGTTATCCTTTTGCATGCAGCAGTGAGGGTTGTTTCAGTATCACAAAGCAAGGTAGCAAGGAGACCTCTCCTGAAAGGTGCATGCACAGTTCCTGCCCAGACTAGCAAAATGAAGGGTAAGAGGGAATTTTAATTTATCAGGGAGGACAGAGAACTGGTTAAATGAAGAGATAATCTTTGGCAGTAGAATAAAGGGGGCTAAACAAGTTATGCCCAAAGCTACCAGAGACATCACATAGTGCAGTGGTCTTACAGTAGGAGCCGGAGGTCAAGAAATTCAAGCTGCTTTTATGACAGTACTTAATAATTGTAGGAAAGGGATTATCTGGCATGTAACAGCATTGCCAAGGGAGGCTTAGGGACATGGCAGACCCCTCCCAGTCCTCTGCCCTCTGTTCCAGTCCTCTGCTCTTTTATTGCTCTTTTATTGCCCAGTCCTGATCACAGCATGATCAGCCAGAGCTCTGCATTTTGTTCACAAGCTACTAGATGATTCAACGTTTATGTTGGTTTTATCCTCATCATTTTCCTTACCTGCCACTGAAACTTCGCGGCATCTGACAAGGTCACTTTTATTGCCAACCAAAATAATGGGGATGTCTTCTTTCTGGCGTGCCCTGCGGAGCTGTATTCTGAGTTCAGAGGCCTTCTCAAAGCTTGCTCGGTCTGTGATGGAGTAGACAATCAAGTATGCGTCTCCCACTTGCATGCAGTGGTCTCGAATCCATTCTCCCTCACGCTGTTCAAATGAAACGGACAGACATTGTTATACCCAGAGCAGAATTTACTTAGAAAGTATAACATTAGAGAATCCAAATACATTCCTTCCCTAACTGTAATGGGTATGGTTTGAATCACAGTTACACTAAAAGTAATTCCAATGCAGTGATGCTATGAATACTTCACCACAAAGGAGGGCAAAACTTGCTCCAGATAATTCATTGTGCTGGCTTTAGACTGGAATGAGCATGGTCTGGAAAATGGCTTCAATGTTTTGTTTTATCATTAAAAAAATAAACGAGGCTTGCATTTCTCAGGCTCACATGGCAGAGCTGTTAGGCATCCTTGGCTTGGTGTGTGGGTGAGGTTAATCCTGTATGGTCCACAATGTTGAAGTACAGAAAATACCTACTTTCTTTCCCAAAAGATACTTTTACCTTTAGATGACTGATATTAGCAATCATCCATATGCACTTTTCTTTTGGCATTTGACTAGAACAAATTAAAGTACCTTATTATCCCACATGTCGAGCAGAATAATGGTTGCACTTTCCCCATCCACCATCAGGGTTCTTTCATACGTGTCTTCTGGAAAGAAAATCAGAAAGGTTGGTAATATATTACTTTGTGGCATCATGCACATTTCAAAAAACAAGTATCTGAATATATATAATTTGTTCACAGTTCAAATTATTGAGCCAAATTTTATGCTGGCTCACATTCAGCTCTTTTCTCATTTCCATCAGCTCTGAACCTGCCCTCTGTTCATTACTGGTTGTCTTACTTTCCATGATATATGAAGGAGGCTGAAAGATCAGGAAATGAAATGTTCATTATTTTGGCTGATATTCTCTTTATCTTATGTGGGAGAGAGAAAACAGAACCAGTGGAAGAAATAACCAAAGACTGAACATTTGCCCCATGGGAGCAGCAGAGTCCAGCGAGGCTGAGTAATGGAAAATATTTGCTTTCACTTTAGCAGGGACAGTTTACGGGTGAAGAGTCACTGCTGCTGAGAGCAATACAGCTCACAGCCTACCAACCAATGAGACAGGGTTGTGTGAGACAAGAGCTGTTGAGTTTTACAGAGGCTGAGACTCCTGCTGCGTTCTAGTTCTCTCCCATTTCACCACTTCCCACATTACCTTTGATGTCAAAAAGCAAAGGAATAAACAAACCACAAAAGTTCAGTTATTTTGTACTGAGGCCACAAAAATTCATACCTAGATTATAAATGCCATGTGACAAAGTTCTGAATAGATCTGGGAGTGCTGTTCGCACTCATAACTTCAACCAACCCTTGCTGTGAAATCTCAGTGTAGCTTCTCCTTCAAGTACTAATCTTCCTTCTTTCCCCCAAGCCTGGGGACATTTGGATGACCACGGGATTGGGATCCACTTCTAGTCTTGGGTTGCTAATCAGTGAAAAACACCGGGCTTTGGGTTTCTGAGCAAACCACCCCTCTCACTGCAGTGTTTGTCTGTCCCAACCACACTCATAGACAGGATTGTGTCTTAAGCCTTGTCTCATAAGATTTCTGTTGGGCATTAATGGAGTGAGCTTTCCCCTAAATTGTAATCTGAGCCTTTCCTCAAAGCCAGAATCTACATTCATGCAAAAGAATGAGACCGATATAATACACATTTAAAATAAAATTAAAAAGAGGACAGGCTTGACACAGCTTAAAATGGCAAGATGAAAAAGACAAAGCTAATCAAGAGAAGTATTTTCCCTTGCAGGCCTAATAGCATGACACTTACGTTCATGAGTTTGATTAATCTTACAGTCAGCAGCAAAGCCAGACCATGAAAACAGCTGTATTCCCTCTGTGAGTTGGCTACCCTGAAACCTTGTAATAAAATTTCCAGTTTGCAAGCTAAAGTTTGGAAAATAGTTTCTTCAACTGACTGAGCATCTTGCATGGGAACAAGCTCCATATACACCAGAGGACAGCATGAAGAGAACTGTTTCTCCACTCTGTTACCCATGGAGAGGTGACAAATATGTAATCACACTCCTTCAAAAATACTATGCCCAAATGGTCATATTCCTTGGTCAATGCTAAGGAACTTCCATCGGATATAAAACACACTGAAAGAAAGCAATTAGTTCATCTCATGCTTATTTCAAAGCTGAGACTGAAAAGGGGAAGCTATAACAACAGCAAGTTTTCCAACACCTCAGCAGAGCTGGCCTTGAAAATCTGTTGCTGCTACATTCCAGGCAATATTGCTGGGAGTGTGAATCAAAGAGGAAAGCACGCAGCTTCACGTGGAGAAGAAAACTGCCTGACAGGGGTGTGCAAACCAAATCAGCTGCATTTTCTGACTGCTTGCCCAAGGGTCCTACTCTAGTTTGCTGATGCAGCACTAGGAACCTGTTATCAGAGATATTCCAGGCTGAGGAACTGATGGGATTACAAGAAAAGTCAGTGGTAGAAGCTGAAGATAAAGCACACCTGAATAACTGAGTCAGAGTGACTGCACCATGGGGAATTTCAAATCCCCCAAAGACACAAAGATCTGTGCCCCCAGTCTGTGACAGTAAGCAAGGAAAACATGGGTCTAACCTGCACTGGGCTGTATGAAATCCTGGGTAAAACTTCTCCTAACCCGAGAGGTAAAGACACAAAAAGCTGTCCTGCTTGTGCTTCCCTGAGGACTGCAAGAGAAGCCCAGAAATTCTCTGTGTTAGCACTGGCACCATTGCACCAAGGGAGCACAGGCAGGAGAGGGAAGGGATATGGGAGTGACGAGGAGAGTCCTGCACACTGACAAGCCAAACCAGCCAGAGACCTGCATGTCCTCCAAAGGCGACAGTGTCTGCCTCCTTAGAGCCACAGCGGATTTCAGTTGCAGCCCAACCCTTCCACATCAATATCTCACATACAGGGTAGCTCAGGGCTTGGTGCTTCCGCTTCACCTTCTGCATGGTCTGATCTTTGGGATTAAAGACTGGTTTGCAATCCTAAACAAAGCAGAGGGAAATAGCAAAGGGGAAGCATCAAAGAAAAACCTACAGCTTGTGACTTTTCCCCCTGTTTGGGCACGACAAATTTTCTTACACTGCTGAAGGACTTTTCTCTGCTTTTCTTCTGGGGGAATCCATGCTGCACAAGTAAGATTAAATGAGGAGGAGATATATTTTACTCAAACTCCATACACCCTACGCTGAGGTAATATATTTATACAGAATTACTGAGATTACTTCTAATGGCAAATATTTTGGAGGTGATTGAAGGACCCAGAAGGGTCCTTTTTCTTTATAGAATCTTCCTAAGCATTTAATTCCCTTACACTATGAGGACCTTCAGTTGTTTTCTCTCCCCAGAAAGCTGGAGTCAGCCCTGCGGAGTCAGTGGTGACACAAATGCTGGACCAGCATGAAAGCTGACCCAGCCTCCTATGTAGCATCATCACAGGCACATTCCAACAGGTATTTTGAAATGAAATAGCATAAGAATCTGAATTGTTCTGTTTCAGAGACTTTCAATGTTAGTGAGCATCTTACTCATGTTATTTTGTTTTCTTGTTTTCTTGAGAGACATGCATGTGTTGAATCAGTTTGGATTATCAGATCCAAATGTTTGTTACCTCAATTTTTTATTAAATGGCCTCTCTGATTTCCTGTGCCAATTACTACTGGCAGGGCTAATTGCAAGCAAACACAAACACCCCAGGGCAAACACAAACACTTACCTCCCAGCACCTCGCAGTCACTGTCAATGCTGTCATGCACCCCTGCAAAGATGTTGGCTAGCGAGGACTTGCCTACGCCGTGCTCCCCGATCAGCACCACCCGATAGCAATTGCTGCCGGACTCAGAGGAGATGACGGAGTCGGACGACTCCGAGGACCAGCTCCTTCTGTAGTATTCATCGGGACTGATGGTGTATCGCTTCTGTGGGTTGTACTCGTTGGAGTCTTTCTGGACCAAGAGATTCTTTCCATCAGCAGGGATGCTCCATCGCTGCTGCTGCTGTTGCAGGCCGCTGTTGTGGGTGCGACGCATGGTAACGTTGTTGAGGGTCATTTTTTGCCCCTGGTGAGAAATAGGGAAATTACAAGCGTTACCCACAAAACATTTAAAAATGCATTGACGCCCTCTTATTAACTTCAAGGCAGCATGTCCTGCTCCTCTGTAGGGGTCTAGTATTCAAGAAAAGAAAAACAAGACTTTCTACACTCTTTTGTAGTTGCTGGTACACAAAGAAATATTTCTAGTTAGTAAATCAAAGGCTTTTTCTTTGGGATGATGCCACCCTTACATGTTAAATCCTATCTTTGTTTAACCTTGACAAGCTCACGGCTGTTCTCGGTACAGACCAGCCCTGGAGAGAGTGAGGCATTGTTGTGTCCCAGGAGGAGAAGGAAGGGGCAGCATTCACCAGGGCTGTCCCACATGGGAGCTGCATCCCTGCTGAGAGACAGCCTACAGTACGGGCAGCACCTACAGGTACTGGTCCCCATCCTTTGTGCTTATTTGGGGGCAGACAAAGGCACCAGTCCCAGTTGCCTCCGACTTCCAGGGAAGTGGGGTGTACAGCATCTCTCACATTGTCTCAGTTAAGAGCTGAAACTTTTGAGAAAGCAATAATACCTCACTCACTGTGCCCTTAGACAACTTTGATATGAGAAAAGAGCCATACAAGCAAGTCTTGCTGTGATGGAGTGGATTTGGGTCTCATCTACAGCCAGGTAAACACAGAATGACTGCATCAGACAGTGGCTTTTTGGCTGGTAAGAGGGGGGACATAGCCAAGTCCAACGGCTTTTCTGAGAAGGAACAGATTCTAGCCAATACAGAACGTAGTGCTGGGAGAAAAAGGTCAAAAATTTACAGATATTAAATCAACAACTTAATTTACTGTACAATCAGCTGGATAGGTTCACTCTTCTTATCTAAGCATGGCTCTTAATTATATTTTATTCAGCAAACTCTGTTTTGCCTTGCTTGGAGGCAGAGGACAGTGATGTCATCCTCACAGGCCAACAGCTACCATTTTTAGGAAAGTTACTTTGATGCATTCCAGTTCCCAAAGTGACAGTTATTTAGACATTTTGCTTTTTGCCATATATCTGATGTTTCTCAGCTCTCTTCTCCACATAACTAAATAGGATGACTGTCCATAAAGTGAACCCAACCACTTTCAACCCTGGATAATAGGTGGTGAATTAAAAAAGTACAGCAACGCAACAAAACAGCATGTACAAATCACTGCTCCTCTTCTCACAAAACTGCCTGTAAACTTCTTTGAATAAATGCACAGCAGGACATAGAACAAATATACAGAAAAAGCACACTCTATCTGAACTTATTACCATAAGCAATATTTTCTCTGTGGTGCGCAGTACTTAGTGGCAAAATGAGATCATTTGCACAGTCTCACTCACAGTAACTTTGTCAGCAAGAAATATAACTAAACTGGAAATCACGTACGAAGCAAAAGCTGCTTCACAAACAAAATGAAATATTTACTGCAGCTGAATTTTAAAACACATTTTTTTTCCTTGCTGTTTGCCCGCTGAAAAGATCAGATGAGAAAAACCAGCTCCGGTTCGGTCAAACAACACAACCTAACTCACAGCCTGCAATAAACTTTCACCCGCTAAACAGTCGCAAACATGTACATTTTATGATTTCACCCCTAACAAATTATCCTCCTTCATTAAACAAAGCCAAACAAGTCCCCATAGCACACTGTGTTCCATGTTCAAAGTGGTTTCGATACCCCACACTGCATTTAGCTGTCTGGGTCTCCAGCACCAGCAGTAAGTGACTGCGCCCGCGCCCACGCTGCCTTACTTCTGCCAGGCTCCTCGAGGCAGCCGGGTCCTTCTCTCTCGGTGGGCTGCGGTGCGCTCAGCCGCTCGGCCGAAGTAAATCCTCCTCTGCTTTGGGGCTGCCTCTTTAATTCTCTCTCAGCAAACCTGGTTTATATTAAGCCCATCTGATCAGAGACAGGGCTTTTCCGTGACGTGGTTGGCCTTTCCATACAACAGCCAGCCCCCAGCGGGGAGGAAGCAGACATGCAGGAGAGCAGAAACTTGCAAACAAGCTCAAAAGACTTACTCAAAATCATATGATTGTCTTAATATTGCCAGTAAAATAAACACATTTGGTTCTCGCATGATGAAAACAGGAAAGTGGAAAAAAACCCCGAAATAATACATGCCATTTCACCTCACTCAGTTTTTCATTCAAACATTATAAAAATCAATGATGTTTTAAAAATAACAGGTTACATTAATGCATAAGATGTTGTAAATTAATTAAGAATGTCTCTGTCTGCAAAATGCACTTAACCCCCTGCTGGACAAAACATTGCTTTGGAATAAAACACCTGATTGTTATTTTTGAATTATCCTAAAAATAGGAATATTATTCTGTTGTTTAGGGTTTTTTAAAATAAAAACTAATATATGCAATCCTATTTTTTTCTGTCAACTTTCAAGTGCCTGTACCCAGTTTCCTGAACTGCATAATCAGCTCTCACTTCTGCTGCAAGCCTTTACTAACAGGGGCTTGAAAAAACATCCAGCTACAAATTCAGTGTTACTCCAGCTGGAAGGTGGCAACAATGCACCAGAACACACAAAGCCTGCACAAAGTCAGAGTAGCACAGTGCAGAATTTTTCCGCAGTTCATTAGCAAAGATGAATATATAGTGTACATGCCACAAACCCAGGGTCTACTCCTTAAATTTTTATAATCTCAGAGCTCATTGGCAGATGAAATTTTGCCAGAGGGAAAAAAAAAATCCAAACCTGTAACGTGTGCCACCAGGTGACACTTCTAACAACATACACAAAATACTTCTTGGTTACCAAATGAAGAGTAATAAACTTTCACAGAGCTACTCAGTAAGAATATCACAAGTTACATAAAAGCGTATAGAAATTCTATATACAGCTCTCAATTAGCCAGACTCTTCATTAACTGTGATGAGCTCAAAACCAAGCTCCTACAGTTTTACTTTATGTTTACAATCTCCTAGTTACTCTATCAGCCCCCGAAACCAACAGGTGACTAATTCTGATCCTGCACATCTGAAGTCTAAACAACATCTCTGCTCAGCAGGGGTGAGGCATTTTTTCATGCTCCCATTCTTCTCAGTCACAGGCAAGCAGCCTTTAACTGACAATGTACCTTTATTAAAGGGAGTAGTGATATGTAGAAAAGAATATCTACTGCTGTGATTGCAGCCCAGCATTCATTTCACATTCTTCCACTGTAAAATTGATTCTTTTTCCCCTGAAAAAGCAGTTCTATATGAAATTCTTCATCTGAACTCTGCTTGCTTTGTTTCCCCTTTGGCTTTATTGCATTCCTGTGTCTTTTGTGAGGATTTTCAGGGCCCTCCTGAGCCCATTCTCAAGTTTAATGATCCAAGAGCATTTCCCAAAGTAATATGCACTCATCAGTGTACATAGAGATTATTCATCTGTGTTTCACTGCTTAGCAGTAGCTGAAGTGGCCCCAGATTCTTCATCTGGCCCCAAGTCCTGCATCTCCACCTGTCCTTTACACAGCAAGCTCTGAGTCTCTGCTACTGTTTGATAATCCCAAAAAGCACAAAATGCCACATCCCTCTGTGTAGGATGTACAGAGGGGCTGTTAATACTCACTGCAGCAAAGTGGAACAGCATCTCTGTTGGGGAAGGTTTATGGCATGGCCAGTGGTTTGCAAGAAGACTTGCTGTCAGTGTACTCAACTGAATTTACTCATTTTTTTGAAAAATGCTGGAAATCATGATGGTGAGTGAGTGGCTGGAATACTGTGCTCTGCACCTCAGGTTCACTTAGCTCTCTTAGTTGTAATTTGTCACCACTAGTGAAAAAGCAAAACCTGTCCACTGCAGGACTGGAGAGATTTATGTCCAGACTGATCTCAGCAGAACTGTGGGCTCCAATGTCTCACCCAAATGTTTAACGTATATCATAGGAGAAAGTGCAGACAGAAGAAATAAACCAAAGTCACAAAATTCTCTGTGTTTAGCTATGTTAGATCAGGAATTGCTAGACATCATCTTCTATATCCTCTTCATAAAATTCAAGGCAGACAAAGAAAACACAGCTCTTGAGCGGCCACACAATATATCTCTTCTATAACACCGTCCATAAGGTTTGTCCCAACCATGGCATGAAGCGCCTGCACCTGGGAAACTTGCACATGTGTTTTTCTTTGTACTGCCTCTTCTGAGCCTATTTTGGTTTTCCAACTGGACAATTAACTCTTCAGATCCTGTTCTGTACTACTATCTGCCTCCACATGATCAAGAGCTCTGGTTGCTCAGGGAATGCCATCAACATTCATCAATTTCAATCAATGTGTGGGGAAAACTTTTCCTTACTTTAAAAAAAAGCCGGTGAGAGGTGCAGGATTTTCAGCCTCCTGGTACTCTTTTACAAGGGAAAACAGCAGGTTGATTAATGAACATATGAACTGAGCCCTTCTCAGTAGGGCTGACTGGATTGGCTTGGATTTCCAAATGCAGTCCCACAGACTGATGGAGGCTGATGCAGTCCTGGACTGCTCAGTCCTCTTGCACTCTTCAGTGGTCAACAGTTCTGCAACTCAGATTGCCTGAGACACAGGCATGAGAAGAGACAAACCACAAGGCCATGTGCTGTTGTAACACACATGAGTGCTTGGATGATTCTGCCTGGTGCACTAGTAAAACAGTAATTGCTTTTCACCTATCTTATCTATTCTCTGCTTCAATAATCACATCTTAAAGGAATGTTCCCTGAAGCCAAGATGAAGTAAACATCTCAGAGTAACAGCTCTGCAATCCTTCTCCAGACAGTTACAATCAGACCAGGTGATGCTCAGTGCAATTAGGCAAAATTTTCCATTGGATACAAAACAGCAGTACTTTTCAGTTGACATTTGATTAGCCATTTTGTAGTTATGTATATGAAGCCAAAGTAGTTCTTCAAATCACCTTTTGGCATAAGAGTCGTATGTAAAGAGGACCTGAATCAACTTTGAGGGGGAGGGAAATGCAACAGAAAAAAACTCTCAAAAAAAAGCAGGTAA